AATCCATACACACATCAATTGTGTAAAGCGCATTTGTACATCATTCTCAAAACATTTTCTCTCCACTTAAACCCCGGACATTAGGTCCTCATTTTTCCCCTCCCTCCCCCCTCCCCCCCTTTTTCCTTTTTTAAAATCCATTCAGGCCACTATTTAGGGTTAAGGACTTAGGAATCTCGAAGGCTTTTTAAAAAAAGAAATATACCATATATATTTACACAGTCCATCTCAAGAAATGAAATCAACATTAGCCGGTTAGACCCTCCCAAAATGTGATTCTCTGTCTCTGTCTCACACCCCCTCCTCCCTCCCTCCTCAAGATCCTATCCCTCTCCCCTCTCCCTGTCCCTGCCCCATCCCTGGCCTCCTCGAAGCCACCAGAGTCTTGTCTATTGTTGTCTAAGCCACGTTTCTTGTTCTTTCTTTTCCCTCGGTAATGGTGTCGTTCGATATTTATCATTGTAAGCTTGACAAAGATTGCTCAGAACAGCGTTCTCTAGCTTTATTCGTGTCTTGCAGTGTTTGAGAGAGTTGTCATTGGCTCTTTGTTGTTTTGTTTTTTCACTGATGCAGAATAAATCCTCATGGGAATAGACAGCCTCAACTTTCTCCCCAGAAGCAACTGGTAGGTTTGAACTGCTGGCCTTACAGTAGGTAGCAACCCAATGCCTACCCCACAGCACCAGCACCAGGACTCGCTGACGCGGCTGGAGCACTCACCAGGCCCCAGGTTGGGTCCTGAGTGCTGTTGTGTGGATTTGCTCACGTGAGCCGCCTAACAGCTCGACGCGGTTGGTCCCATGACAGAGGGGGAAACTGAGGCAGAGCGGCTAACCAACTTGCCCAGAGTCCTACAGCTTTCAAGGGGCTGAGCTGGGATCTGCAGCCTTCTGAGTTCCCGTGGCTAGACAGTCTGCTATTTATCTGCATGGCGTTCTGTGTGGTTTGGATCCGTTTTGTCTGAGACCGTCATGCTGACAATAACCCTTTGGGGGAGTTTCCACCCCTATTTTCCAGGTGGAGAGGTAGCGAGGCTCCCAGGAGTGGAGTGCCAAACCCACCCTGCAGAGAAAGGAATGGAGTTGGGGTCCCTTCCCTTCTTCAAACCCTAAAGTGTTTCTTTCCTCTCTGAAAGAACGCAGCCTGGGTCCTACCCCCGCTTCACTGGTGCCCCTCCACAGAGCTTGTAGCATCTAATGGCTAGGGTGCTTCTCCTCCTGGGCCCCTGGCTCCCCTTAGGTCTATCCCCTGCATGTTCCAGCTTCACTTGAATATCAGGGAGCCACACATACACTGGGCTCCCTCAGTGTCCCTGGCTGATTGCTGGGGAGCCCCCGGAGTGCAGAGACTGGATTCTGCTCCCCAGGAGCAGAGGGTACCTGCCAGTCAGTGTTCAGTGATAAAGAATGGGTTGGCCAGCAAGGCTCCAGGCTGGGCTGGTAGACGGCTCTGCTGTGACAGTCCTTACTAGGTCCTTCTGGGGTCCCCGATCCTGATCACTTGGTGCGTGTCCACCACGCGCCAGGCTCAATGGAACCCCACCAGGAGCTCTGAGGGGTGAGGGCAGAGACCCCGTTCACAGGGCAGGTGGCTTTGCTCACAAGCCCAGGGTCACCAGGTGAGGTGGTCAAAATCCAGGTTAGGACAACATCTGTGGCTTGATTTGATACGTTTGCTACCGCTAGGATTGCCAAACGCCCATGAAAACACTCCCGGCCCTGGGGCCAACAACCGTACAAGGGGCCCCCAATGGAGTCTGTTTTATTCCAACCACCCTCTTCCCCGCCTGATGGGTGAAGCTTGGGGCCTCCTCAGCTGTGTGGCTGCGACCTGCCCTGATTTGCCTCTGCTATAAGGATGTTAGCGATCTTAGCCCCATGCCCCAGATGTGGCAGAGAAACTGAGTCCCGGGGAAGCAAAGCCAGGCTGGCTCACTGCCTTTCTCTCTGAGTGGCTGGGAGCAGCCCTTGTGGATGGGAGACTTGGCCTAGTCTCTGGGGCCCTGCGGGGCTCAGGTGGTCAATGGCGGTATACACGGTCCAGGGAGAGGCCCCTGCAGTCCCTCCTGGGGATGGGTGACCGGTCTGGCTCCACCTCCCTCTGTGGGTTGCCTAGAGCTTGCTCACTGCCTGCCTGGGCCTGCGCTCAGCCCTTGGCCACCTGCTCCGGGGAGTCCTCGGCAGGCGTCTTGCTCAGCAAGTCCTTGGAAGCACAGGCCTGGCAAAGCCTCCTCCCCACAGTGCGGGGCTGCCAGAGCCACTGCCCACCCTGAAGGGGCTTCCCTGCCCGCACCAGCTGTGACAGGAAGTGGGGAGATGCCAGGGCCAATTAAACTAGCCAGGGGAATTAAGGTCAGCAGGATGGACGCAGTTATGCTGTTGGGCTTCAAGAGGCGCCAGGGAAGGCTTCTCCAGCCAGAGTTCACGGCTCCTTCGGCCTCCTGCCCTGGGTGGCTCTGCCTTCCAGGAGCCGGGCTGCCCACTCACCCATCCCTGAGAGAAT